CGGCCACCTTATTTTAACATACAACCCCTATCACACTAAGCAATAACACATGTCTTAGACGGTCACCTTAGTGACTCCATTACGTTTTGTCATAAATTGTGCATTGGCCTATTGGCCTCTAGTGTTGTGGGCGGGCGAGCAGTCATTATCCAATCACCTGTCGCTGTTTTTAGGTAGTCCCATAGATGTACACTATAGTCACAAGGAGGTAACTCTATGGGTAGTCCCTCCAACCGATCGTGTTGCGTAAGCCCCTCCCACTGTTGACTTATAGGCTAGGTAACTAATTTTCCGCTTCTGGTGAGGTAAGCTTGTGATCCCTCTTAACCTTAGCATGCAGTGTAGCCGCTCGCGGCGTCGCGAAACTGGAGGGCTGACTGGCAGCCTGGCAGCCTCTCGTGTGTATGCGGCGGTGCACGCAACGCAAGGCAAACGGTAGAGAAACACACCGACCCCCCCCCTCTCTCTCTCTCTCTCTCTCTCTCTCTCACACACACACACACACACACACACACACACACACACACACACACACAAACTTTGCACTAACTTGAAATCTATCCGCACTGGTACACGTGGTGAGAAATCTATTCATCATGAGTGATAAACAAAACGAAAAAACAATGTTTTCATCAATAGGCATATGACTACAATGTTTGCTGGTAAAACATAACTATAGGGAATGCTCGAAGATAAAAGTGAGAGATTTTGTAGTACTACTTGGTGTTAGTCGGCAAGAAACCATAGCCAATGGAAAATCAAACTGAATATATGTCACAAAAGACAAGCATTATTTTACATTGATCGAGTGTCTGTAGAGCAAGAAGTGACCAATACTTTCTGGTATTTATAGTCTATAGAATTCATATTGAGCTGGGCATCAGTTTCACTTTGATGTGATACGCCATAAACATTTTTTTGTTTTCTAAAAACATGTAAGAGAATACATTGTAATTGGCTTGCAGCGCAGTTAGATATCAAAGAAGCTGTTGTGGCAATATACACAGAAGATGGTAATAATAATCTGTGAAAGGTACCGTGTCGAGTACTTGTCTGTTGAATAGGCCTGCTTTTTCATCAAAACATAGTAAACGTGTGCTAGGAAGACATTTGAATGAGAAAAATAATACAAAAAATAGATAAATAAACAAATAAAATTAATTGATTTAAAAAATGAGCAACTCACATCCTCAGAAAATGCATTCGTCTCCTTCATAGGTCTAACAATCCACTTTAATGTTGTGCTGCCTTTGTTGATTTGGACGAGAGCTTCGTTGCCTTCCTACTCGATCCACTGTCTTGACTGTTGCTGCTGTTCTGAATGGCAAATCTTTTCAGGAAGATGTTGGCAATGCATGTGAGGGTTTTCTTAGACACAACGAGATCTAAGTTAAAAGTGTCCACAAATCGGCTCATGATTGTAGCCAACCGAACTCGACAGAGTTTTGAAACTGAATTTGTAAAAAAGCAGTAGGCATGCAACATGAACCTGACAAATTCTTCAGATGGGCAGCATAATCCGTCTCTATCTCGATCTCTGAAGTAGGCAGTGATATCGGACTGTGGTAAAGTCCCTGTGAGGCCTCTGTCTTGGGGGTTTTTATGGGCGACGTAACCAGCTATGTACACAATAGCGTTTTTCTGATCTAGTGGTATTTTTAAGACGAGATCATCTTCGGTCATGTCGTCAAGGAGTAATAGGTCAGCTTCTGAAAGAGGGATCTTACAAAGACAGCACCTGTGTCTGTCATCTACATGATCAAGGTCTTGCATGGTATTCAGCAGGAGTTTAGCTCTGTCAAGTGCGTTTGTAGTGAGTGCCTCTTTGACAGAAAGGTAATAATTGCTTCCAGCACTCATCCTAAAGTGTTCAAAATGTCGCTCCAAATCGTCCTGTTGGAAGAACCCGAGGCAGACATAACGGTGTTTCCACAGAGCATCAGTGGTAAGAAGATACTGGTACAAGTCCAGAAGGCATTTACATGTCCATTCTAGTGCATGTGACGTGTCTTTAGTGAGACAATTGTTTCTGTGAGCAGTCGTGGGCCTCATTTTAACTGCAATCTCTGCCCATCGCTGGAGGGTCTCTGTTCCAGCACCTGACACCTCCTCAATGACAGCCCGATCTGGATCATTGAGACGAGTACTCTGGAAGGGAGATTTACAATTCAATAGTTTCCAGAGCTGAACTACCTGCTGGATGAAAACTGCAGTGTTCTTCCAGGACTCAGAACTCAGTGATGACGTCCTAAGGGCACAACTGGTTTCATCACAAAATACTTGTAGAGCAAGGGAGACACTCTGTTTTTGGGTGTTAGAGGGCCACGCTGAAGATTTGGTCAGCTTTGACAGTTTGAGCATGCTCTCATTCTCATGTTTGTATAGCTCACTGATGTCACTCCAGCATGCAAAATGAGTTTCTCCAGTTGAAGTGCTGACCAATGGAAAGCACAGAGTCTTTGTTGGTTCTGTTGTCCAGTTGTTCCTGATATTCTTTAGTATGTGTGTGGGATCATACAACAAGAACACGGGTTGTGGCGGAATGGAGGGTGATCGGACGATCGATGGGGATTGGGGGTTGAAAGGTGTGAACATCTTGAAGAATGCTTGGTTCACTCGGTTGTTGTCGTTTATCACAGAGATAACTTTGCCTCCACATTCTTCAAGCATGGTGATGACGTTGCTGACTACTTCAAAGAGAAAGTCACTTTTGAGAGTTGCGACGGGGACCAGCTTAGCAAGGAATTTATGGCCTCCAAAAAGACACTTTACCATGATTGCTAGGACTGTTGTTGCCTTCTTTGATTTGTCATCTTCTGCGAAGCATAGAGTTCACCGCCGCAGTACTGGATGGAAGCCTTTACGTACATCTCATCCACAAGTATGATACATGCTTTGCTCCTCTCTGGCTGAGACTGAAATATGTTGTGAAAAAGTGTGAGGTCATCGGTGTTCTTTGATTTCCGTGTGATTTGTCCAAGAGTTGAAAGGGATGGGAGTTTCAGGTGACAACGCATTTTAGTATACAGAGCCCTGGATCTTGTATACAGTGACGGTGGGTGGACCAAAATTTGGGTGGGGCTTAGGTTGCTTCCAGTTCTTTACCACCAAATAGCAAGCAATTTAAGATAAGAACTAAACAGTGATGATTTTTCTATACTCACGGTGAGCCACGGCAATTTGAGAACCTTTCAAACGAGAAGAGTTGCCTTTGTATTCCATCTCTTTGTTCTTAGTTAAATTCTTGTTGATGGTGGGGACGAAGCCGATTCACCTCCAAATTCCCTCTAATAAGTTTTCGTATGATGAAAAAGTTGCCTTAAAAGTAGTTCGACCTGATTTATAACTGTTAAATCTCAGCGGCACAAACACAAACATGCATACACAGCACTTCAAACTTAATACTTCTATGAGCTGAATTAGGCCGTGTAGTCGAGAAAGTTGAACGCACCCAACAAAGAACCAATGGGTGCATAGGTATCTGTGTCAGTGGGGGAAAGTGTGTCGTAAACTGTCACCCCATTGTCAGGGCTAGGAGAGCGTGAGCCCTCGGCACAGTGTTATTTTTTCCCAGTCTTTTACCTTTTTTCAAGAAGAGTTTCATTAAGGATGGGTGTGGGAAAAGGGCTCATTCTGTGCTGAGCCCTAAAGACATTTGATTGGCTGCTGGGTTACTATAGTTGTAAGCGGTGACAACAGTGATTGGATAAGCGAGCAAGCCGCCAAGTGGGTCACTCTATGTTCATTGCGTGCGGCCATAACGGTTTCAACTGCTTATTTCATTATGGAGAAAGTTTCATTTACTTTGGGATAGAGTTGGGGGTGGTTGGTGGGGAGGGGGTAGGGGCTCAAGCCCGTGAGCCCTTCACTACCCACTGCCACTGCTTGTATACCAGGTAAAAGCCTGTATGAGGTCGAAGGGTGAGTAAATCCGTCCATTTTGGGGAGTGTTTATGAGCTGTACGTGTCGTTCAAGAAAATATTGTACGTTGTCTAATTGAGTTGATTCTGTGGAAATAGAATCATGCATAGAAGTCAGGACTTAGTGCATCACC